GAGTCGGCGCCCCGGGAGCGGGCGTGTGGGGGGGGGCCGGGCCCCCAGGCGGGTCTGGGCGGCGCTGCCCTGCAGGACGGGGCCGTGTGACTCTCTCTGCTTTGTCTGCCTGTGCAAGTCGGGCCGTGCTTGTGATTTCGGGGATTATCCACCCAGCCGCTCCCCGCGCCTTGCCGAGCGCGCGCTTGTTCCTGCGCTGGGGTTAGCGTTTGCCATGGGTTGCCCTTTTTAGCAAGCCCCTCCGCTGACGTCTGCAGTTCGCTATCTGACGTTGTTTTTTCACTGCTCTGCTTTTCACAGCCCTCACCTGGGAGGAGGCAATACTGTATGGCCCCATAGCCATAGGTCCCCACCATGTATCCCTTTCTTGCTCTCTGCACAGGCTCTGACTAGTAATTTAGCTTTGCATTGGTGGCTGACACTACAAGTCTGTTCTTTCACAGTATGGCTTTTCTCCCTAATGCTAGCACTTGTCTCCCCTCTTGGGTTCACCAGCTGAGACGTGTCACACAGCTAAAGATAACCTCTGCCAGTGTTTGATTTGCACAAGTATGGTAGGCGTGACTGAATGGCTACGTCTACACTGGCACCCTTTTCCAGAAATGCTTAAAACGGAACAGTTTTCTGTTACAAGTATTTCCGGAAAAAGCACGTCTACATTGGCAGAATGCTTTTTCCGGAAAAGTGTCCGTGCCAATGTAGATGCGCTTTTCCGCAAAAAAGCCCCGATCGTCATTTTTGCGATCGGGGCTTTTTTGCGGAAAAGAAATCTCTGCTGTCTACACTGGCCCTTTTCCGGAAAAGGACTTTTGCCCGAACAAGAGCAGCATAGTTTTTCCGGAAAAGCACTGATGATTTTACAGTAGATCGTCAGTGCTTTTCCGGAAATTCAAGGGGCCAGTGCAGACAGCTGGCAAGTTATTCCGGAAAAGCGGCTGATTTTCCGGAATAAGTGACCAGTGTAGACACAGCCAGTGAGTTACTATGTTGGGATTAAGAGAGGAGAGTGCAGTCTCATCTGATGATCCCCAGCTGAATTTTTTTTTATTAGGACCTAGGTGGCAGATCTTAAGGATGTAATAGGAGAGTGGATGGACAGGGCCACTAATGGGGAGAATGGAATACTGGGTGGGAGATAAGCAAGCCAGAGCTTAATTAATCTTTGTGGGTCTGGCACCTAACATTTGTGAGCCCCTTCTGAGTGTGGGCCAGGCACGATGGTGCCATTGGCACCGTTGTAATCCTGGTACTACTGGGATGGGGGTGAAAGCATGTATTCAAATCTAAAATAAGATATATGCACAACATTTGATTGAAACCACCACTAAGGATGTTAACTATTGACTAATTGAATAGTCGATGCTGCGCAGGCATTATTCCATTAGTCAATAGGGCACCTCCATCTTTGAAGTGTAGCAGTAGCCGTAAGTCTGTTGCTACACTTGAAAGGCGAAAGCACCATGTCGAGCCTGGGATGAGCTGGGGACTTCTCCACTGATCCAGGGCTCCACAAGGCCCTACCACTTCGAAATGCTGCAAGGAGCCTGATGCCGGTTTCCCTGTGGCATTTCAAAGTGGCAGTGCCGGATGTAGCCTGAGGTCATCTGGAGAGTCCCCAGATGATTCGGAGCCGCATGTGGCACTGCGGCTTTGAAACACTGCATGCAGCCTGGGACACCCCAGATGTCCCCGGCTGCACATGGTGTTTCAAAGTGGCAGCGCTGTGTGGAACCCAGGGTCTGGCCCTAGGCTTCAAGCAGCTCTGCTGCTTTGAAGTACCCTCTCCTCTTCTCCCTTCCTTGCTTTCTCTTTTTGATAGAGGTAGCAAGGGAGGAGGAAGCGACTAGTCCGCTACTCCTTCACATCCCTAACCTCCATGTAGTCCACAGACCACAAACTAGGCTAGCATTAGTATAGCCAAGATACTTGTGAAATTAATGTATTTATGTGGGAGGAGATGGTTTGATTTTTTAATTTGTTAAAGCATTAACGGTCTGCTGGGGGTCTGGAACACATCATTTTGTTATAACCACTCGAGAGAGAGAGATGGTAGAGTCATTGTGGATAGTTCTCTGAAACATCCACTCAATATGTAGTGGCAGTCAAAATAGAAACAGTGTTAGAAATCATTTAAAGAGATAAAGAATAAGACAGTCTATATAAAAATCCATGGTACGCCCATATCTTGAATACTTGCATACAGATGTGGTCGCCTCATCTCAATAATATATATTGACATTGGAAACGGTTCAGAAAAAGGCAACAAAAATAATTAGGCATTTGGAACAGGTGCCATATGAAGACAAATTAAAAGACTGGGACTTTTCATCTTAGAGAAGAGATTAAGGGGGGATATGATAGAGGTCTATAAAATTATGACAGGTGTGGAGAAAGTGAATAAGGAAAAGTTATTTACTTGTACCATTAACATAAGAATTAGGGGTCACCAAATGAAATTAATAAAACAAACAAAAGAAAATATATCTTCACACAGTCAACCTGTGGAACTCCTTGCCACAGGATGTTGTAAAGTCCAGGGCTTTTACCAGGATTCAAAAAAGAACTAGATAAATTTGTGGAAGCTAGGTCCATCAGTACTTATTAGCCAGGATGGGGAGGGATGATGTCCCTAGCCTCTGTTTGTCACAGGCTGGAAATGGATGACAGAGGAGGGATCACTTGATGATTTTTTCTGTTTACTTTCTCTGAGGCATTTGGCATTGGCTACTGTCGAAAGATAGGGTACTGGCTAGATGAACCTGTAATTTGACCAAGTATGGCCTTTCTTATAAATCTATGGTACTGCCACAACTTGACTACTGCATTCAATTCTTGTCATTCCACCTCAAAAAAATAAATATTAGAATTAGAAAAGGTACAGAAAAAGGCAACACAAATTAAGGTTATGGAACAGCATCTGTATGAGATGAGATTTAAGACTGGACTTTTCAGCTTGGAAAAGAGACAACTAAGTGAGGATATGAAGTCGTGACTGGTGTGGAGAAAGTGAAGAAGGAAGTGTTGTTTGCTTCTTCATGTAACATAAGAACCAGGGTTTACTGAATGAAATTGTTAGTGCATTAAAAACACCCAAAAAGTACTACTTCCCCTAGTGCAGAGTCAACCAGAGTCTTTGCCAGGTGCATATTGTGAAGGCCCAAAGTATAATGGGGGTTAAAAAAAAAAACTAGTTAAGCTGATGAATGATAGGATCATTACTGTGTTTTTTAGCTAAGATGGTAAAGAGTAAAACACCGTGCTCTGGATATCGCTTGCCTCTGATTGCCTGTTTTGTTCATTCCCAGTAAAACACCTGGCATTGACCATTTTTGGAACACAGACAGTTTCATTTTTGTATTGTACCACCAGCAAGTTTTTATTGTGAGTTAAATATTAATGTTTCTTAGTCCTGGTAACTATTTTCTAATTAAGATACAACTTATTTTCTGCTTCAGGTTTATGAAGAAAATGACTACAGGAAGGTTCGATTTGTTGCACGACATAAGGAGGTAAAACACATTGTGTTTAGATTCTTCAGGATATGATTTTAATTTTCTTAGGTAATAATACCTTAAATATTCAATTTTATCAAAATACAAAATGTAATGTCCACAATTTTTTAAATTTGTGGCAGTGGAATTGACAGATGTTTTGTGATGTCTTTGAACAAGTTGCTGCTCCAGCTGATGTGTTGTACTTTGCTTTGATGTCAGACTGCTTTATGTACTCCTCTGTTCCACAGCTTTGATCTAAGGGATTGTCTACGTGTGGATTCAGGAACTCAGTGAGCTAAAATACACAGGAGCAAGGCGCTGTTAATCTGGAATAAGTGTGTCTGCATGTGTAGTTATCCAGAATAGTGATATGAGAAGACAAGCCTTGAATGTGTATTTGCTAACTCCTACTCCCTCACAATATTGTTATTCTGGAGAATTTCCTCTTAAACTTTCTAAAATATTTTATATATTGGTCACTAAATTTCAATATATACTATTCAATGAAAATCAAATTCTGCCAAACTATTCTATGGACATAATCCAATATAAAAGCGTTCAGAGAAAGTAACAGTGAGTCGATATTTGACTCATTTATTATTTCAATTGTGATAGCACCGAGTCTCCAGTGAGATCAAGACCTTATTGTGCTAGGTTCTGTAAGAACAAATATAGAGTAACTCTATTTCATAAAGAATTTTAGTACTGATTATGCTTATAATAATGAAGGATCTTTCTGTGGAAGTTTACTATGTCTTGGTCTGTCCAGCAGCAGTTCCAAATAAAGAAGATCACAGCTTACTGCAGTTAAGATATCACAATTTTTTTCTACAACCTCAGTTACATAGATAAAGTGTCTGTAGTTTTGTGTGTGCCTGAGTCCATGAGCATTACATATATGAAAAGTACTCAGGAGACTTAATTAGACAATATATAACAAATTAAATATAACTGAGACTAATAGGGGAAATGACTGACATTTATAGGGTTTTAAAAATAAATTACAACATTGTCAGGCCTCAGTTCAGCAAAACCGTTAAACATGTTCATTTAATGAGGAGTCCTATTTGAAGGCCAATGGATCTATTTATTTGTTAAAACTAAGTACTTACATATTTGCTAGACTACTGCATCCTGATCTTGTAAACACAATGAAATCAATGAGACAACGTGTGTGTGTGTGTGTTTGCAAGCTGGAGCCTTAGTTCTAATATAACATACAGTAAATACAGTGTTACTACAGAGGAGTGAGGTTCTGGAACAGCCCTGTAATAGTAATGGGGCAAACAACTTCACTAGTTTTAAGATAGATCTTAAATTTATGAATAGGATTACATGGCGGTGTTGCTTGTGTGAAACACTTTTGTCTGGTCAAGTAGCTGTTGGAGCTCACAAAGTCCCTCACATGTCCCTGAATTCCTTTGATAAAACTAGGGAATGTCTAACTTGACATTCCTAATAATTTAAGGGTTAAGAACAGAAAAGAGAAAATTAGATTTGGGGACTTCCTTTATATATTTTAGAAAATTAAAACTAGATACAAGTCCATTGAAAAATAAATCTTAATGGCATCATCTTTAACTTTCCTGGACTACCTCTTAATTATTAAAGTAGAAACTTACAATGTTCTTTGGGTGAAAGGAGAAATCAGACATTATGAAAATAAATCTTGCTTAGACTACTTATTACACTTTTCTTAAAATCCCCTTATTTGTATTGGCTTTTCTTCTAAATCTTCAAGATAATTGTTATACTATAATAGCATGCAGTTTTTGTTTATGTGAATTAGGGATGTGAACGTATACACGATTAACCAATGAGCCTTGGCTCATCAGTTACTGTGCATGATTACAAGAAGCTCTCCTTCTCTCCTGCAGTGCTGCCTCTGATACAGAGATAGCAGCATGAGTGGGAGGGGCAAGCAGCAGCCTACTGATACAGAGGCTGCAGCGTAGGAGGCGGATTTGGGGGTGGGGGGCAGATGTCTTTGCAGGAGCCGCCTCCCTCTCCCTTCCCCTAGCATGTAAACTTTCAGTGTGAAATTTTCAGTAGGCTATACATTTGATTAAATAATGCATTTTAACATCCCTAGCTTGAATTCATATTTATCCTTCTGGCATGAGTGGCAGAATACTGTCCCGGAGAAGAACTCCAAATCAGTCTTTCTACATTTCATTTAGTAAACATGCTAACTATACTTTCTAAAAGCAGAAGTGGTGTGCTTTTAATAGATTAATCAAATATATACAGAAGCACTGTTTTCGAAGACCTTCATGTTTAGTACTGTTACAGCATGATTGTATCTTTTGTTCTCAGGTACACATTCCTTGGTACTTTGGTATTTAACTACCAGTAGAGTGAATTTTGGGAATTGGCCAGTATTGGGGAGCTCTTGTTCAAGTGCTCTAGAATATGCATTGCAATCTTGAAGTCTGAGATCTCAGAATATCCTAAGTAATACTGTATCTAATTTCTAGCACTTCTGTTTATGCTGAGGAGGTATTTTTCTGTGGCTGTTGTTGTTGTCACCTGATGGACTCAGAGATGCTTTACGTGACTGTTCAAAGGTAGAAACCAAAATGATGGTTCAATGGGGATTCTTAACCAGAACTACCCTTTTCCAACTAGCAGAATTGAAAGATTTGGGCAGCCTTAGTTATGTTCTTACCCTGTGACCAAGGGGAGCATAGCACTTGGAATAGAACCCACTCAGTGTGTGGATGGAATGAGTCAGTACTGTAGAGCTGGGCTGAGAAGATATGACTGCCCACCTTCTGAATGAGGAAGACTGCTTTTTCTTTGTGTAAGCTATCCCTGACATTGCACCAACCATTTTACTCAGAAATGAGCTACCACCTCTGACGTGAAGCAAACTGCTAATGTTTTCTGATTACTGGCTACAAATATTTAACATTACTTCCCAGTGCATTGTTTTGATGTGAGCAAGTCTAGAGTTGGCTATACTTTGATAAAGCTGGAATGAAGTTGATTTCTTTCCATTATCTTAAACGGATAGGTCATAAGGGGCCCAGTGTGGAAATGAATCCTAGTAACCTGACAGTATGTGGTGTTAACTTTTTTGGTGTACAGCATCTGCATTTTTAATTAATCCAAAAGTGGCTGGAAATTCTGGAATTTGGAATTTAGTATCCCCAAAGGTACTAAAATGGAGAGCATATCTTTTTTCCCCAGAATATTTAAGGTACCATGATTTCTCACTGAGTCTCAGAAATATTGATTAAAAATTGTTAAATATGAGGTACAGTCGACTTCCGATAATCTGGAACCTTTGGGACCTAGGTGGTGTCAGATTATCGGATATGCCGGACTATCAGGAGGTACTATGAGATGCGGATACTATGTACAGTAGTGTGCAGCACTGGCTAATCACTTAAACTATTAATACAGTAACTTAAAACACTTAATACAGCACTTGATTCACTTAAATAAAAAAATTATACACTTCAGCACTAATACAGACTGTAAATTATTTACTTAAACACTCACTAGGTTCTTGCCATTTTGATGCCGGACTATCGGGAGTGCCGTACAGTTGGATGCCGGGCTATTGGAGTTTTATTGGAGTTTTAATGGTTCACTTTTTTTCCTAGGTTTTTAGATGAGATGTTTCATATAGATGGCAACAAATGTGCATGCTCTGCTAGGTTTGTTGAAATAAGCAATTGAAAATACAAGAAAAGGAAAAGGGATATAGTTATCAGATGAACAAGTAACATTCAGATCACCTGCGTCCCCAAGTAACTAACTTAATCATTCACTGCAATCTGTAATACTGCAAAATAATTCAACGTATGTCTTAACTGAAAACAATATAAGGACTTGTAAAACCACTTCTTACCTTTTAAAACCTATTCAAATGTTTTTAACTCTCCCCCTTTTTCCTCATCCTTTACTCCTGGCTGTCTTCTGGTTCCGTTACAAAGGTATATCTGATTTCTCTCATGTAATTGATCATAAATGTCAAATAACCCTAATAATTGATCAAAAGTTAAAGATCTTCTGCAGACTCCTTATCACTAACAATTTTGTACTTTTAATGCCGAAGTCTAAAAAAGCAAAGACATTGCATTTTAGAACAATGTGCATTTTTAGCTGTAATTTTCAGCCAGTATTTTCAAAAGTAGCCTAACTTTAGAGATGTCAATCAATACTTAGGTACTTAAACGGCCTGACTTTCAGTGAAAGTTGCTGAATTCTCAGCACTTTGAAAATCATGTCACTTAAGCACATGCTTAAATTTATCCCTGTTCAGAGAAATATGTATTTAAAGGGTTTGCTTCATCATAGTTAAATTTATATATTTAAATAAGGATTAAAAAGCCTAATTGTAGCCTGCTGCTTTTGCACATCTTGGGCTTTCTGTCCAAATGCTTTGCTCTGAATAGAGATGTAAAATGTCAAGTAATTGGCTAATCAAATAGTCGATGCAATTTGTATCGACTATTTGATTAGTCGATAAGGGGACTTCTGCTTTTGAAGTCACTTCAAAAAGTGGCTGTTGTTACACTTCAAAGACGAAAGCTCTGCGGGGAGCGTGGGGACCGCAGAGGAATCAAGCAGTGCCCCGCTGGCCCCGTGCTCTCCGTGGTGTTTGAAAGCGGCAGGGCCGTGTGGAGCCCAAGTCCAGCTGAGGGCTCTGAGTCCCCAGCTGACCCTGGGCTCCGTGAGGCACTGCTGCTTTGAAATGCCGCAGGGAGCCCGGCGTCCGGCTTCACGCAGCCTATCTGATAGAGGCAGCAAGGGGGGGAAGCAACTAAGCATTCACATTCCTAGTCCTGAACAAGAACAACCCGTGATTCATTCATTTGTCCAATTAGACTCTTTGAAGAGACAGTGAATAGATCATTAATAGGATCCTACCAAATTCAGACATGAAAAATGTGTAATGAATCGTGAAATCTGGTCTCCCCCATGAAATCTGGTCTTGCTTTGTGCTTACATTCTATGCTATATAGCGGGGTGGGGAACTTCAGGCCCAGGGCCCAGATGTGGCCCCCCACTTCCCTGGTTCCAGCCCCTGAGGTTCAGTTCCCCCCCCTCAGCGTTGAGGAGCATACTCTGGGTCTCCAGCTTGATTGAAATTGGGAATGTAAGCGACTAGTCGAGTCACTCCTTGACTACTCATTTTCCCCAGAGGCGTCAGGGTGGGGGGAGTAGGAGCTGGTGTTGAGGGGAGCAGTTTACCCCAGCACCATCTTGGCGGGGGGTGGAAGGGGGCAGAGGCGCAGCGGGGGACCTGGCACCAGCTGGGACTGCTGCAAACACGGCTCACGCCAGGTCCCCAACTGCTACACCTTTGCCTTTTAAATGTAGTAAGAGCTGCCTGGCTCTTACTATATTTAAAAGGCAGAGGTGCAGTGATGAACTGCTGAGTCCCCGCTCATGCTGCCCCAGGGAGGTCACCCTGCTGTGGCTCTGCAGTTTAAATGCTGCAGGAGCCCGGCTGCCTACACGTGCAGCTCCTCCTACATTTAAACTGTGGAGTCACAGCAGGGGTAGGCGCCCCACCCGCCCCCTCCATATAGACTAATTGGGTAGTTGATGGAAACTCCCAACTACTCGATTAGCTAATTAAATGCTACTTAACATCCCTAATTCAAATCCTGCTTAGGTTATAAAACTTAGATTGTGCAATTATTTTTATTTTCTTTGGTGAACATCTGTGCTCTACACAAATCAGTTATAATCATTTAAAAATCTATCTGTAATTAATCAACATGTTTTATGTTTTACCTAAAACACTATTTTGTTTGAAGTGCTTGGGAAACCTCAGCTCAGAAACAAAACTGATGCAAGTACTCTCCACACTGAGGGAGATATGGACAGGGTTATAAATATCTATTGGTAAGGTTGGTTAGCTCAGGGGAGCCAAGTTGGGAAACTGGGGGGAATTGGCTGGAACCTTTTATTGTTGGCTGAAAGAAGCAGTCATGTAACTTAGCTGGGTGTGTGTCTGCCTGTGGATGTCTATGTAAATGCAGTACCTATCAGTTTTGCAGCTAGTCACAGCATCACAGAGTGCAAGAGAATTCAGGTTGGTGAGACAGAGGGCTCAGTGGCATTCCAGCTTTAGGTTGCACCTGGGGAAAACCCGTTGTATTACTCCATGACAAAGAATAGTACAATTGTAAAGTGAGGAATTCTACTGTTAGTAAATTTGAAATTAAGATAGCCTTTTCATCTTAATTCTCCCCACACCATGCATGTGCATTATTTTATAGGCATGTAAGTGAATAGTCGAGTATTTGACTACCTCATAAGGGTAAGCTTATGGCCAAGCTGTAGGAGAGGCAGCAAGGGGACAGCGGGGGGAGGGGGACAGTTGTGGGAAGGGGCAGGGGAGCCTGCCGCGAAACAGTCTATACCTGTGACAGCCTGAGGCTGCTCCAGCAGCCACTATCTGTGAGATTTCTTCTTTCATTCCCCTCCCCCTCCCCCTGCTCTGGGATAAGGGCTGCTGCTGTGAAATGCAGCCCTTCCCCTTCTCCTGCCCCCACCATCCGTGGTGGCCCTGGCTGGCTGTGGGCAGAGGCTGCTCTGGCAGCAGTCCCTGCTCATGGCCAGCCAATGGTGCCGCAAACAAGGACTGCTGGACCTGGTGCAAGCTGGGACTGAGCAGTTCCAGCTTGCACTGGTCCAGGACCTCTGCAGCTCTGCATTTTAAATGTAGTAACAGCCTGTCAGCTCTTACTACATTTAAAATGCAAAGTCACAGCAGTCCAGAGCCTGCGTGAGTGGGGACTGCTCAGTCCCGGCTCATGCCAGTTCTGGGAACTATTCTCACTGTGGTTCTGCAGAGTGGCTCCCTTTATCGACTAATCGTGTAGTCAATACAAGTTTGTATCGACTACATGATTAGCCAGATAACTGCTCCTTAATAACCTTATTGTGTTACTAGCCTTAATTACTTGATTACTTATTGTTTTCCCTAGGCTTCTCTCCTCACTCTGTTCTGGTTGAACTGGATATGAGGCAGTTGCATAATGCATGAGGCAGAGATTCTCATGGCTAAGGAAATGGTTGGGCATTGACTGTGTCCTGGGAGAGAGATGGGTCTGTTCCTGTCTTTACATCAGCTATACTTCAGAGCCTTATAGCTTTCTCTCCTCCCTGTTGCCTGTTACATGGAAGGAGGAAGGACTTCTTCCATGCCCACTCTTAAAATTACCTAAGATCTCTTGTATGAACAGAACATGCATAGTTCACACATGCATAATGCCAAGTGGGATTCTGAGACCCTGCCTCAGCAAAAAGATTTGCTTATTATGGTTATTTGAAACTTGAAAATGATCATGTTTTAAAATTCAGTGTCTAATTTCCACACATGGATATTTGTGGTCAAAGCACTGAAACTTGGTTCACAGCCACACTGAAACTTAGCTACCAAAAAGTTCAGTCTTGGATAATTAATTTGACTAGCTGCATTAATTTTCTTCTTGAATTAAATAATTTAAATCCTTTGTGGAAGAAATAATTTGGGGACAGGGCATGTGTTACCGTTCTGGCATATGGCAACATGTAAAATAACTACTTCTGTCTAGCTCTTCTGGATTCACCTGATACGAGTGTACTTATGTTATGCTTCTTATCTACCTTCCTCCCCATGAGTAGCTGCATTTTTCAAAAAGAATCAAATTGTATGTTTTGAATAATACTTTAAAGATATACACACAGCAGATACTGCCTTTTTTGATTGGCATTGCAGAATCTTATATTCTTTGTGTATATAAAATGGGTTTTCCACATAATACCCAGTTTCTCTAGTAAAGTAGAAGCCAGCATCCCACAAGTAGGTATTAACTGCTGCTATAACTTTAAGTATTTCTCCTTATGTTCTTATTTTAAATTTAGTACAAGAAGCTGCACTTTATTAGCTGTTAAAATTCGTGTTCAGCACTGACAGATGTTCTCCATGTATCTTTTCTAGACTTTCTCCCATTTGGTCTCTGTGGTCAAAGTTTTAATGCCTGTTTGCTGTCCAGCAGATAGTGTGTGTATATACATATGAATTACTTGTGTTGAATTCTACATTTGCTCAGTTGAACTTACAGTCAGTGGAAGTTGTGTTCATATATCAGGACAGAATTTTTCCTTGGCATAAAAGCAGAATTCACACTCTAAGTGTATTCGATCAAAGGTAAGTGGGTGGACAGATAGGTTTGTGATAATATTTTAATGCAGTTGAACAGATCTAAAGTTACTTTTAAACTCTGCTGCAGGTTGAGGTAATTATTTTAAATGGGCACGAGCTATTTATAAAATATGAAATTTGTTTCAAATCTATTCTTTTAAAGAAGTTTCTGTACGCTTCAGAATTCACTATATTTAAAAAATCTTTTTCCTAACATGAAAGTTGAAGCTGCTATTGTTCTACTAAAGCGAGGAAACTTACTCATAATTTGGTAGAAGTTAGATAAGCTTTGCTTGATATTTAGTATGTGGCTTGTTCTCTTAATCACCAGTGATTGTGCAATATTAAAAAATGGTTCTTTAAAAAATTACTATACATATTTTGGTTTCTGAGACACTGAGATGGTGATCTTCTGCTTTGTGCCTTGTTGCAGTAAACCTTAGGAAAAATATTTTCTCTTGTTCTGTTGTTGCAGGTAAATGAGAGCTTTGCAATTGACTTAATTTCAGAGCAGCCTGTGAATAAAGTTGAAAATCGAGTGGTATCATGTGATGGTGGTGGAGGAGCTCGGGGACATCCTAAAGTATACATAAATTTGGTAACTCAACTTTAATTTCCTGTTTTGCTATCTTGTATCACGTGTAGTGTAGTTTATTTACTCATTTATTTATGGTAGATAAAATCACTCTTGAAGTTTTGGCTTAGTAAGTTGCAAAGGAGAGAGAGACTCTCACTTATTATTTCTATAATAAAATAGGTGTGCATGGCACTCTAAGAATGTACGGGTGATGTTTTCTGCTCAGAAGAATTTAGTCTTCAATGATAGATTGTGACCCTCATCAAGGGCATTGAAATTAACAGGCTTCTTTCTATCAACATCAACTAGTTTCAGACTAGTTCCTGGGAAGAGGAAGTGAAAGGAAGATCAACTAGTAACAAACAATGCCTTATGAACAAGAAGTAGGAACTTTCATTAGGATATTCCTATCCTGAATATCTATTCAGATTCATGATATTTTCCTTTACTTCTTTCAATTAAGATTTTTCTTCAATATGCTTTAATTTTAAAACAAAGTTCAGTTGATTTAGTAATTATGTAAAATGCTGGTTTGACAGCTTGAAGACTCAAGCCCCTTATGACCAAAGAGTGCAGGTGCAGTATACATTTCTCCTTCCTCTTTTGCAGTTCATAAGCACTGACAGTTTCATGGATGCTGCCCTGTCAATTCATGTCATTTTAGAGCACGGCTACTCAACAGGCGGCCCCTGGGCCACATGCGGCCTGTGGCCTGTTTGTTTGTGGCCCGTAGTGCAGGTTGGATTTATGCAGGGCTCAACTCACACCCCATGGGTGAGAGCCAAAACAAAAAAGTAGTCAATATAATGGTCTTCTGTTGCTATGCATTTTAGTAGTTAAATTCCTGGATTGTCATTACTCATTACAAGTGCTGTCATATGGGTAGAAATCGGGTAAATATAGCATTTTATTATCAGCAGAACTGACATAAATGGGGCCTGTGCGTTGTATAGTCTTGCCTTAATCTTTGTATTCGTGCCTGTCAGTGTAAAAGAAGCTGTTTGCATATATTTGCATGTATATGCAACCACACTTAAGTTGCGGCCCTCGGCATGTGCTGCGAGTATCATTGTGGTCAGCAGGGCTTCCAAAGTTGAGTAGCCCTGTTTTAGAGGAACCCTCTCTAAGTGAAAATAGAGTATGATTATTCGTGGCCTGATAGCAGCGATAACATGCTGGGTGCTGTCCACATAAACAAAACATGGTCCCTGATTCTGAGTTTAAAATCTTCTTTCTCTGTCTACTTGATCTCTGGCTGTGATGACCATCAATAACTCTTGTTTATAAATTGGTGGTTTTATTTCATTTCTTCATCATTGTGAGTTTTCCCAACATGGGGGGGAAAACTCATACTTTATGAAGAAAACACATACTGGGATTCATTTTATAAGCATATTTATTATTCAAACTTAGTGTCAATTGCTGTCTAAAATAGAAAGATTTGTGTTTCTGTAAATGAAACAAGATAATGGAATCCCCATTCGATAAGGCATATCTCAGAGTGGGTATGAAAGATTGAGATGTTTTTACCAACTAAATAATAATTTTAGTTCCCAGCCCTTTGTGTGGCTTTGAATAAACTGTTGCTAATATGCTGCAAGCTTAGTGAACCTGGACAGAAGTGTAGATATTTTAATTCATAGTTCTGAATTAATTTCTTTTCTTCTGTCACTTAACTTTCACAGTTTCTCACTGTTCAGTTCAGTGCAACAAATCACTTGTATAAATATATATTTGGGTAAACATCTGGATCTTTGGTTCTAATGATGGAAGAGAAGAAAATTTGAGATTTATGTTTCATCATCCCACGTCTGTCTCTTCCTACCATGATGTGTAGTTGGGCTAGTCATGTAGCATACTAATGGAAAGGTCCCACCGCTTCTTTCAGTAGCTCTTTGATTTTGCTTTAAGTCACCATGTCAGCAAATACGTAACACCAGTATTGTAAGTCTGCCTTCTGTCAGCACTCTTGTGAATTTATTCCTCCTATTTAGAGCATCTTATGTAAAATGCATGCTATGTTTTGATCAAACATCTATGCAATTTTCTCCCAATAAGTTCTCATAATTTTAACTTCATTTGTTTTCTGCAAATAGCACAGACCTCGTTTTTCTTTACTTTGTTGGATGGCATCATCAGCAGTGTAGACATGGTATTCTGTGGCTTTCTTTTTAACACTAA